ATGTTAAGTAGCATTGAACTATGGGATTCTCGATATTGATTGCCTTGAAATTTGAAAAACAGATCTTATGTTAATAAATAGGTTTTATTGTAGAGCAGAACTATTAGGGTAGCTCCGATTATCCATTTTGCTCCACACAATGCAATCGGTTCAATATTAGATCATCACTAAATGTGAGCTCCTTAAACGGCACTGGTCTATCGAAATTTATTTCGAAATTAGAGAATGCAATTAGTGAATGCAATTGTGCTACTGGAACCAAAAGTTAGAACAATATTAGTGGGATTTATGAACCTTCCATAGTATTAAATTACCACCTATTTTTTAGTATTTTTAAACAACTTCTAGACCTGTATAATTTTTCACCCTTTTTTTAACAGGCTCATATTTTAGGGATATTAATGTTGCAATGCACAGTGGTCCAGAATGCAGATTTAGGTGGAATGATAAGTTTTGAGCCTGAAATTGAAACTTTAGACTAAAAGTGTCTTCTACAAAGTTGTTCCTTATAGTTAGGCCCTCATTTTTATGACAATGAATTCTAGGGTGGTTCCTATTATCATTAAAATCAAAAATCTACCTTTTTTGTTTGAATAAATTAAGGTATACATTTTTCAGCTTAGTTATAGCTGAGCTAATTTCAAGCAACTTTGTTGAAAACAACTTTTTTGTATCTCTTGAATTGGCCGATTTAGAGCTATTTTCTTGAATTGAGTTAGGGTGGCGCTAAAAAAAAAACAGTTATTTTGCTCTAGTTTTCTTATTTAAAATTTCTCAGCAAAGGTGTCTTGAAATGACTTTTAGAACTTTAGAAGGCGCAAATTTTTGCTACAAACAGCTTGTCAATATCTTTCGCCGATCAAGAGTTATTGACGTTTTTATACTAAAAATATGCACTTTTCTAATGTTAATATCTCTGGTTGGGGCAAACAAAAAAAAAATTCTACGGCATTTGAAAGGGCGTATGTTATTCTCAATAATATGAAAGAATTGGAGGTATGTTATATTTTAAACTCGTATAAAATCAATTTGCATTTATTCATAATTTTTACTATATTCGGGTATATGTTTTTTATTAGAAGAGATACAGGCAACAAATTTCACTATAAAACATTCGTCTAAAAGAGTTTTAAAAGTCTCTAGGAGATGACTTTCACGAGAAATTTCTGCCCCAACCAGAGATATTAACATTTCAAAAGTGCATATTTTTAGTATAAAAACGTCAATAACTCTTGATCGGCGAAAGATATTGACAAGCTGTTTGTAGCAAAAATTTGCGCCTTCTAAAGTTCTAAAAGTCATTTCAAGACACCTTTGCTGAGAAATTTTAAATAAGAAAACTAGAGCAAAATAACTGTTTTTTTTTAGCGCCACCCTAACTCAATTCAAGAAAATAGCTCTAAATCGGCCAATTCAAGAGATACAAAAAAGTTGTTTTCAACAAAGTTGCTTGAAATTAGCTCAGCTATAACTAAGCTGAAAAATGTATATTTTAATTTATTCAAACAAATAAGTTCGATTTTCGATTTTAATGATAATAAGAACCATCTTAGAATTCATTGTTATAAAAATGAAGGCATAACTATAAGGAACAACTTTGTAGAAGACACTTTTAGTCTAAAGTTTCAATTTCAGGCTCAAAACTTATCATTCCACCTAAATCTGCATTCTGGACCACTGTGCAATGAATGAAAATAATTATTTTTTCACCTTTAGAGTCCTAGGATTTTTACAACGCGACTTTTTAGAAACTGGGTTTGCCATAAATGCCCCAGGCAACAAAAGTTTTGTCAACAGTACCGTCAACATTTTTACGTCAATTTTTTCAACAATATTGCGGGTATCTGTATTGTTTGCGGGTCATCAATACAGGGCTGCTTCTCGGTAAATGTGTTATATGCGATGGATTATTCTGAGAAAAATGACATCTTTCTTGTCAAAAGATGTCCAGAATCAGACCCCATTATTAAGGGTGATCAGTGAACCGGGAAATTGAAAAAAAAAACGGGAAAAATGCGGGAATTCGAAGTTGTCGGGAAAAACCCGTGAAATTCGATGAAAAATCGGTAAAAAATATACGTCATCTTGTCTTGAAAAACATTCAAGACCCTTGAACTGGACTAGATTTTTAGGATACAGATATTTTAAAGAACTATAGAGATAATTTTAGATTTTTTTTTCAAAATCAATTTTGAACAGATTTTTTAAATAATTCTAGAGATAAAACCGACTTTACTGAAAGTATCTTAAGGAGGTTTGGATGAACTCTACGAGCGTTTTGACTAGAATCCTAATATTCCCAATTGTGTGAGACCAGAATATTTTTTTTAAAGTAGTTCTGTGATAAATTCCACGTGGCAATTGTGACCAGGATTCCACGATCCGTGAAAAATGCCATGATGATCGAATGTTGAGGAAAAATTCCACAGAGATTGTGCGTAGAATTTTAAGGAAATTCCGAGGATAATTTCAAGGGCATCCTTAATGGAATTAAAAGATAATTTTAAAGAGAATTCCAATTGAATTTTCGGAAGAATTTAAAGGAGAACTCCTAGATAATTCTTAGCTAATTTATATGACAAATCGAAGATGAATTGCATTGAAGTTCAAAGTTGAATTCAAGCGAATTAAAAAAATAAATATTAGGGGCTTTAGTGAATTATGAGAAAATGTTTAAAATTACTTTAGTATCTAAGGGCGAATTTCATGCAGATAATTTCTTGAAGTGTTATAAAGATATCTTCGAGGTACTCAAGGAGAACTTTAAGGAGAATTATCATCAAATTTATCAAATTGTCAAATTTATTTGAGAAGAATTCTGCAAAGAACTCTGTGAAGTGAAATAATTTTAAAGGAAGAGAAAAGCTAGAGAAAAAATCAAATAAAACCTTCGAATTTTCATAGATAAATTATGAAGACTCCTAACGCAGAACCAAATTCAAGATCCAGCAGTGTACTATGCTGTCTTAGTAATGACTAGTGATCTCTTCGGCTCAATCGCATTTGGTTTTATGCTCAAGTAATTTAAAAGCATATCGCACAACCGGGAGAATTTCCAAAATTCCGGAAAACGGAAAAAACGGGAAATTTCTAATCTGGATTTGCTGGTCACCATGAATCCTGTTGAATGTGGGCGTCTTAGTGGAATACCTGTATAATGAGAGAGAGAGAAGGATTAGTATTTTTTATTTAATTCCACTACTTTATTTGCTTATCCTTGACAGATACGCGTATTTCGTCTACAATGTGCAGACTTCTTCAGTGTCTTGTACTAATACTCGACTGCTGAAAAAAATCGCATTTACCGAATATATATTAACACAGGTACATTTTCACTTAGAAACTAGGTAAACTTAAATTTAATTTTCTATAGGAACAGGTACTCCGCTGCTTACTCGTTGATGTGTCCTAGGTAGTGACTTGAAAAGCCATGTGTGTCCGTTTCCTTGATCCCTGTTGAGTAAAGTTGAATTACGTTGTTTGTTGATCTCGAGGCTTTCTGCAACATCCAATTTCCATGGTGTAGATACGGTTCGTAAAATCGTGATGTCCTCCGTCGATAGTCGGTGGTCCTCTGTAAAGATGTGTTCTGCAACCTTTGATTTGAAATCATATGTTAGGCCTTTTTCCTCTTGCTTTTTGGCCTTATTAACCTCCGCTATATGTTCTTTAAATCTAGTTGCTAAAGTTCTCTTGGTTTGTCCTACATATACTTTGTTACAATGATTACAGCTTATTTTATATACACCTGCTTTACCTAAAACATTAACTGGGTCTTTAGTGGATCCTAACAATGATTTCAACTGGTTATGTCTACTGGTGAAAACTAAATCTAATCCGAATTGTTTTAACTGTGGTCTTAGCTTTCAAGTAATATCTTGATCAAATGGAACGGACACTCGTTTCAATGGTTCAGGTGCTGTGGTGAGGGTTGTAAATAATCTCCTTTGTAGAATTCTCGCTTTTTTATCGATGATTGCCTGGATTGTGGTCTCGTTGTATCCGTTGAGTCTTGCTGTTTCGAAGATGTACTGTAATTCCTTAACCTTTCCTGTATCGCTGAGTGGAAGAGTCTGCATTCGATGAATCATGTGGTGAAAGGCGGCCATTTTCTGCTGGAACGAATGGTTGGAAGTATAGGGGATAACTCTTTTGGTGCTTGTTGGTTTCCTGTAAATTTCCTATTCAAGCGAGGAAGATGATGACGATTCCCTGATGACTAGAAGATCGAGAAATGCGAGTTTCCCGTCTTTTTGTACCTCGTGAGTGAATTTGATATCCTTGTGAATTCTGTTGATCTCATCTAAAATTTGTGGAAGGGCTTCCCGTTTAACTACGCTGAAGATATCGGCAACAAACCTCCACCAACGGTTTGGTAATAGTCCTTTCTCCTTCAGGATTGTCTCCAAGTTCGCCATGAAAAGTTCACACAAGAAGGGGGATAGGGGGTTTCTCATTGGGGCTCCTTTCGTCTGCTTGTAGAAGTTACCTCGGAAAGAGAAGTAGTTCTCTTCCATACAAAGGCGGCTCAGCTTAAGGTACGTCCGAACCTTGTTTCTCCATGCTGCATCCTCTCGTTGTGTTAATAGCCAGTCCTCCAAATGGTTGATCGCTTCCTTGACCGGTACGCTGGGAAAAAGAGCTGTGACGTCGAAAGATACCATAATCTCGTCCTCGTTGATGTCTCCTGAAGATTGTAGTTGCTGGGTGAACTCCTAGGTGTTACTAACTGCTTTACTCTGGAACTGATTCGGCATACTCTGGAACTCTTTGACTAGCCACTTCGCTAGTTTGTGGGTGGGGGAACCAACTGCAGACACGATCTCTCGCATTTCATTTCCTGGTTTGTGGACTTTGGGAAGACCTTTGATCCTGGGTAGAATGGGATTGGGTTCCCGTATACGACCTGCTCCATCTCCTAATATCGATTTGCACTCCTTCAGTGCTTTCTCCACGCGTTTCACTATGTTCTGTAAGGGGTCTACTCGAACTGTCTATACGGTCCGTTGTTAATCTTCGTTGTCATTTGATTATCGTAATCGTCCTTGTCCATGATAACGACCGCGTTTCCCTTGTCTGCCTTTACGTAGTATACTGCTTTACTTTTTAGCTCCTTTACAATCCGAATTTCTTTTTCGTTGGCGCGACTTTGTTCCTGTCCGTCCTTGATTATGTTCGATGTGATAGTCCTAACCGTATTCTGTGATGTTGTTGGAAGCGTCTTGGTAATCGCTGTTTCTAAGTCAATGATGATCTGCTCCACGTCTGGCTTGGTTGTAACTGCGTATCCTAGCCCCTTATTGAGGTGTGTCAATTGTTCTTCCGTGAATGCGGTCGTCGATCGGTTGACAACCAACTCATCAATGGAGTGAACCCTCGGCGTCGTGGTGATGGTTGATGGGATCTGCTCACCCGTTCGGTGTGTCGTCCGTCTCCGTTGAGACTCCTGCCGTAGTCTGTTTAGCTTCCTATCCTGCAGCTTCCGCTTCCTATCCGATTCGCACTCCTCTGCTACCTTGGCCCTAGACAGCCATGATTAGTGCTGTAGTTAAACAGAATTCTGCGTCAATATTGGCATCAACATATTGGGAGGCCTTGACAAATTTAACAAAATTAGTATGATTGTACTTGCCTCAAAAAATACTAATGCAAAAATAGTACAGACTTAGAAAGCTCTCAAGCAAAAACTGTTTTTTTTATACAGGGGGGAATTTGCTCACAGACACCTGAGAAAGAACTCAGGGTGTGTGGATGGGAGAATTTCACTCCCGACCCACTAAACCTTACCCTGTACGCTTGGCCCTTGACCTTCCCGGAACCACCCGAAGGCATTACTTCGTGGGAGGGGCTATGGCGCTTCTCTAGTAATACCATAGAGGTAACTATAAGACCAGAAGGTCCCGAAGAAACGAGCTTAACTTTTTGGCTCAGCTCTGGTACTATCTTCGGTCCCAAGCTAATCGGCGCACCCCTCGAAACATAGGAAAATCCACGAACCCCTCATTTTATCTGTCAAAGTTTCATAGCGAATCAAAACAAACATTGTGTAGTACTAGAATTTCGACTAGAATGGGATACGTTAATCGTTTGCTTGGGACCAATAGGCTAGTCAAGTAGTGAGCCAATTTAAAATCGTTAGTTTCGTATTGATTGTTGGTAATACTCTATCGATCTAGTCGGGCAGTAGGTTTAAGCAACAACTGTGGAAGTGCTCAAAGAACGCTTTGACCCAGTAAGGACGTAATAAAGCCAAAGAAGATGTAGACGTAATACGTTAGGCATACGGTAGTCATAATCGACGGTTGGTATAATGAACGATAAGCACAATCCATATTTAAATGAAAAATTAAAAAAAAAAATCCATTCTTTCTCACATGAGCTGTTTTTTTTTGAGGATAATCTTAATTTTTCCTCAACAATAATGACTTCTGTTATTCCTAGATGAGAGCCAAAGGCTTAGCTGGGTTTTGATAAGGGAAATTTTTTGTTGGGTCATTTGGCCGAATTAAAAAAATTCTATTATTTTTCTCATGCGCTTTGAGAATTTGCTTTCTTCTTCTCCTATGACTAATGGTTATCTGTACCTAAGACAGACATGACTAGACACAACACTACACCATAGAGGTAACTCTAAGACTAGTAGGTCCCGAAGAAACGTGCTCAACTTTTTGGCTCAGCTCTGGTACTATCTTCGGTCCCAAACTATTCGATTCACCCCTCGAAACATAGGAAAATCCACTAACCCCTCATTTTATCTGTCAAACTTTCATAGCGAATCAAAACAAACCATTTGTAGAACTAGAATTTTGACAAGAATGGGGTACGTTAATCGATTTGCTTGGGACCAATAGGCTAGTCAAGTAGTGAGCCAATTTAAAATCGTTAGTTCGTATTGATTGTTGACTACACTGCGTACTGCCTTTTTTACACACCATCAAGAACATTGAGTTTTACACTCCGTACCGTGCTCGATAGCAAACACCAAACGTAGCTAACGGTGGCGGAGCCCGGTGTACAAAAATTGAACCGGTGTTCACCGAGTGTTTCTGACATTCGGCAAACACTGAAGCCGAGTGTTCTCGATTTCGGAAAACACGCTTGCTGCTGGTAGGAATTTTCTTTATGCGACTTATGAAAGATTATCGTCCTACACGAGGTAGCTCTTATACGCCTTTATTCCACGCTACAAGCGCTGATAGACGAGTTGGCAAATCTTTGGTCTCATATTTAATGCTAACGTCCATGGATCGAGTGGAGTCTGTGCCCCCTTTCATTATTGTTGTCAACATTATTATTTTTCATAAGGTAAATCTTAATTCGTTTCGATTTCTTTTGGCTAAAAAGCATAACGCAATCTTATGAATCTGATGAGCTCTAGGAATCATCCACCAGGATTATTAATAATACTCAAATCACCCACTTCCGAAGAGCGTGTTGTTGTTGCCGTCCACCCACTGCTATTTCTTGGCTTTATATTAACTAATTGAGCTGATTGTTTTAATGCGATTAGAGTCAATTATAACTTATCTTCAACGAAAAAAACAGCTTGAATCAAAGTCGAGATATATGGTGTGTTTACATAATGCTGGTTCACTAGCACAACCAGCTCAACTAACTAGCACGAATTTAAGTTGATCGAGTCTGCTTGTTTTCTGACAAACCTATCTCAGGTTTAGGTTCGCACTGACAAAAAGTTCGGTTTCGCACTGGATTGGAACTGGTTCCAACCCCGATAGTAAAAAAATCGCTATAAGATCTATAGAGTTCTCCAGATGCACAAAAGTGTGCGTCAGACCGCACGCTACCTTTTTAAGTAGTTGTAATATCACGATACCTTTTTGGTTCTTCTTCTTCTTCGTTTATATTTATGGATGTAGGATTTTAGTGTTCGTGAGATTGCGCTTAGAGATCTCTATTCAGATTAGCGGCGTCGGTGGTGTATAAATTGATTATTTTAACAATATTGGAGGTAGCTAGGAGGAGGGGGCTGAAAGAGGGGTTGTTTTGTATATTTAAACTCGGTTACCTGCAGTGTATATCAAATTACTTAATTCAAATGAATATATTTATTTATAAATTATGAATACAGTGGTGACCCGATTTTGTCAGCTTTTTGACTCGATTTTGTCAGCCTGTAGGATTCAATTAGTTTCGTTTGAGGTTAACTGTATTCTACACTCGTTGATGGCATTTTATTGATTGCTGGACTCAATAGTGACATTCTTCGAGACCCTATCGAAGATCCGGAATAACCGTGGTCAATTCATGAAATTGGTCTTAGAGCTTCGTATGCAGTCGATTCAGCGATGTTATACTTCTGCCTTATTTCGATCATACTATAGGTAGCCCTCTGTCGAGATCTTGCAGAATTTTTGCTATTGTAACAAACGACAGGACAATTCTGCTCCTCTTTTTTTTCACTGCTACTTTCACCATTTTTAGAATTTGAATTACCCGAAAACAACAGACGGAAATACGACTGCATACTATGTACAGTGCTGCAAAATCTCGACAATACACGGTGAAATTGCTAATTCTGTTTTGATCACTCATTTGAGCTAACAGTCACAGTCAAGGCAAACCATATCAATTGTATATGACAATGCTGTCAGTGATGAACATATGTAGATTTTAATATTAAATAAATTTGTAATGAAATTAGATAACTTGAACAACACAATTACATGGAGCCTTAACAAGTGAACAAGCATCTACGCCCTGAACTGCTTGGATAACAATAATGTGACACAGAATGTACGAAATTACACTTTTTGTTGCCAGGTGAATCTTTTTCCTCGTCTTTGTCATTGATGAAAAAATGAATGAGATTTTGACGAAATTTTATTTGAGGATCAAGTCTGTCAGTGACTAACTATGTGACGAACAATTTTGTCAATATCGTGCGAAAGTCTGTCAATGACAATGACAATATTCAGCACTACTGCATAGCAGCAAGAACAAATAGCACAGAATGCAATAATCTAAGAGAAAGAGGAGACAATAGGGGGACTTTTATGAACCAATTTTCTGTCAAACGCGAACCAGCACCTGATTGATCGGGCGAACGTATAGAATCGCGAGAATTTTTACAACAGGGAATCTATTTTTTTGTATTTTGACAGTCGACTGTGTCGCCCATAATTAAGTACTTTTAGCAACAGCGAGAGAAGAAGAACACGTTATAGACAAAAATAAGCCAGATGTTTTCTCTTCCTCTTAGGAAATAGATAGGCGAACCAGCCTAAGGCTGAAAGCCTCCTAAATAAAGCTAAATAATAATAAGCTCTTAGGAAATAACCTACACGCTTACTCGAAAGTACACATTTAATGAGTATCTTGTACTCATTTTTTATATTTGTTCTTATATGTCAAAAAATGGGTATTTTCATAAAGATTAAAAAGGGTATTTTTTCTTCATTTTTGAAAATATCTTAAGGCAGAAAAAATGAGTAATAACATCATTGTTAACAGTCTGATGAACTGAAAACATAAGAGCACGGAGTATTCAGATTGCGAAATGTCTTGTCATTCTTGCAAATCGGTCGAAATTCTCGGTAAAAATGCTCGTACTAGTGCTGTTATTATAAGATCACACAACGAAGATGTGATTGAGCCAGTGAATTCCTTTCGGCCGATGTTCATTAAGGCTAAAAACGAGCACAGTAAAATAGTGCTTTGGACGGCAGTTCCGATTGTTACGAGGTAAGGAAAAGACATGGAACCCATCTAAAATTCTAACAAGTGTTCCTGTTCCAGATTAGCGGAGATCTTCGAGAAGGAAAACGACATGCTCAATTATCTGAACGTTTTCGATAAACAGCATCCATCATCGGATTGATTCCTGCAGTGATCATATGAGAAAAACGATCTTACGGAAGAACTACTTAATGCCTCGTTTGGTCAATGAATGTATAAGAAATAGATAAATGTTCACCAATACATATTTGGATCCGTTTAATATTGATTCTGGTTCAATAAAAATTATGAAAAAATTTGACAATTTTAGCTTTTTCATTAGTTTAACATGTTTAAAGTTTAATAACAGGCAGCTCCATGAAGCAAACATTAAAAATGAGTACTTTTTACCCATGGGCAGAAAAAAACAAAATACCCATTTTTTGAAGTATTCGTCGAATTCTCATTAATGAGTAAACACGGTTTTACTCATTTAATGAGTTAAGCCACTTTTCTTAAAAATGGGTCTTTTTTTACTCATTAATGGGTACTTTCAAGTTAGCGTGTACGCTTACACACTTACGATTGTCAAAATAAGTGTCGGTGTGAAGGCCGTTGCACAATAGCAAGTGGGGCATCACCAATGAGGTACAGAGAGAGGTGGCGCAGATCGTGAAATAGGGTTGTATTAGTAAACCAAAAAATCAACGTAAACGCAAGTAGTGACGTCACTACTTGCGTGTACTTGCGTGTATCGTACAGTGGTTGTGTGAGTGATTGCTTCACCTCGGTAATCCAGCTCATTGGGGCATCACGTCGCCTCGGGGGGTTCATCTGTCAAATGACAGATGTTACGCATGAAGCGTTACTTTCTCTTCTTTATCGACTTGAAAAAGATAACCAAGAAAATGTAGTGTGTTGCTTTTCCTCGTAACGTTTTAGAACAATTCAATATGATTGAGGAACCATAACAAAATGCTTCTGGGGCATAGAGATTGCTAAAGTATGACTGTGTCAGTGATTTGTTTTCATCGGGAAAATTTTCCGCTATGAAGCTTTTTTTCCCGATGAAAACATTTTGCGTATACGTATACGTGGTATGCGTGACGTAGTGTGCGTACGATAAACGTCAGCAATCTCTATACTAGAAGCTGTAA